AAAAAGGTCCCTCAAGCCTCACACAACATCCGTATGCCGTGAAACAGACACTCAATGAAGCAATCAGCTTGGACAGTCCAATTATCATTGTACAGCGTAATACAGTGAGAAACGAATTTCACTGGTGGCACAGCCAACCTCATAATGCATACAAGGTAATTGAGAATGTGGGAAGAGGATAGGGATTGAGCTTACGTTTAGGGACGGGTGAAAGAAAGCGAACCTCTATGATCAACACACAAAGTGCACAGTTCAATTGTGCATACATACTATTTCAAGCATTCTGGTCTGATAAGAAGTGACATTAAGACCCCAACCCTGGAAGACGAGAAGCACCTATTCCACCTAATCGCTCTGTGCATTTCTTCATGCCTCGTCTGCACGTCATCTATTGGCCTCCACATGGCTTCCTCCAGCCCTTAACAGCCATTGCGAACAAGGCGCGATGCGGTAGGCGACCGTCGGACTTAAGCATCATGTGTCCTAACAAACGGAGCCTATTGAGCTGGATTCGATGAGATGGCGAGTTCTTGTTCAATGCATTCGCAAACACTCGACGACTTCGACTTCTAAGTTACTAACCCGCTCACTCAACACTACTTGGGCCAGGCTACATAAGCATCGATTGTCGAACACTGACTGCTAGACGACAGATGTCTTTACCACTACACATGATTCGTATGCAATAACAGTGGGAAAAATCACCCCACCCATGTGTGTGTGATAACTTAAACTGCTATCATTTTTTTTTGGGGGGGGAGGGGGGAGTTATATTTTGACGAGACGGACGTATACTAGATTTTCGGCCCACAAACACCTGGACGTCTTCATATTAATTATTGAACATCAATGATAATAATTATTCCTATGAGATAAAGCCAATAGTTGAGGAGAAAATAACGAATATTTGTGATGATCAATGAAGACACGAGGGTGTTTATATAAATAAAGAGGTTTATCATCCGACCAAGTTGCGCTTTTTTATTCAAACTCAAATATGCCGGTATTTCGAAATGTTCGTTAGAAATGCCACCGTACGCTTGATGCTTTATAAACAAATCGATTAACTGATTCCGTGGATGGTGTGATGTGGTGTGGTCAGTCAAATGGTGCGCTCGACAATTAAGTGTCATCATCAGTGAAATACACATATCATTCCCCCGAGAGCCCAGAGAGCTAGATCCTGTGTAGTAGTTCAAGTAGACACAGATCACGTATTACGAATCACACATACGTCACGGAAACATTGAATCACACTAACACTTGCACACTAGAATCTCCCACCGCACCGAGATGCATGAAAAAAGCCACAGAAGTAGCAATTCGTTTATTGAAAGAAATCAATGGGATTAAATAGCACGTGCAAAGGAAGTCTATTGATTATACACCAATCGCGTGCTTGTATTCTTGACGTCATACAGCTCTCTGGATCGCACGACTTCTGATTGGTCGGGACGATTAGCCTGTGTTTCGTTGTCCGGAAACTGTAACGCGTTGCTCCATGGCTGGTATTATCCTCTAGGCTAGGATCATCACAGTTTGTTGCATTGCGTAATATATATATATATATATATATATATCAGCTGTTTCAACCTTGTTCAGTCTCATCAGTGGGCGAACGCATCGACCCAACTGAAGTTCGAACACGAAATTTCACTGAAAGAACACGGGCATCCGGTCAGACAGTTTTTCACTTTGCCTATTTACGCTAAAGCACAGTCCGTTTTTGGCAAGCTTATTTCAGATATCTCACCTGTTTCAAATCAGCACTAGGCTCCACGGTTATGATTCGGCCGGTAATATTCGGAACTGGATTGCTTGCTTTGAAGGAGTAGCAGAGGATTTGGTTTGTTTATTGGATGAACTTGGTGGTCTACAATTCATGCTCCTTTCGTTTTGCTTTGGAAACCTCAAAATAGCTTCCGAGCTATTTAGTGCTCGATTCATTTGCCCTGTTTGTCACCAAATAATCTCATTAAATCCCTCGCTAGTCCATTCCTAATCGTATACACGATACGAAATTCAAAATCCAGGTGCGCATGTTGTGTCGGAGCGATTTGGCTCATTTAGATTCACAATGTATCTAAGGGAACTCTTCGATTTGTTAATAATTATTCCCGCTTAGTTGGGTTTATTTTCCATTAGATTAGTGAACGAGAAATATGAATATCAATACATAATACAGACTCGTCATTTTGAATCAGCATGATAGTCATCAATCAGAAGTCATGACATGATTGTATAGATGTTTCATTCGATATTAGGAAGCATCACATATATCCACAGCATTCACTAAAAATGCCAGTTCCAGCAAAACTGGGTTCTCATGCGACACCACACAATTTGTGTGGTTAGCGGTGTTCATAGATTCCATTAAATTTGTAGATTTCAGGGTTCTGCGCAATCCAGTATGATAGAGGTTATGCAATATGAGAAAAACAAGCGGCCTATACAGCCCTACCAAACGATTGAACGCTCAACTCAGATCGGCCTGACGAGCCCTAACGACGAGGATTGCGTAGCTAAATTTTGACCTGTAATAAATAAACTACTCATGAGTAACAAGAGGATGAATTCGAAATAGTAAGAAAATTGGTCCCCTTGACCGGATGGAATCAATAGTTAAGCCTACATCCACCAACGTTTGTGTTATTTCTGATTCCTGGATGACATTTGACGAAATAGTTGGAGGGGATAAGCTTGTTTTCGGTGACTGAACAAATAACTACTTGGAGTAAATTTTATGTCAAACATCCTTTTTCCGTTTAACCATTTCATCACCATATGTGGACAGGATTGATATTGACCATCAGTTGCTCGCGTGCTATCATTGAGCTTGAAACGCATACTTATATGTAATCATGTTAGACGAAGAAACTTGGGATAAGTTGAAATGAGTGATTTGAACAAGTTGGTGGGAAAGTGAATTGCGTGATTTGTGTTTGGTTGATGGGTAAGTTCAGGTTGGATATGAATAAAGAAGCTCAAAACACAGGTTTGCACAATGTATCCTGGATCACTTCGCTGCATCTGTACACGTGCATACTGCAGTCTATGTGATCATTAATATATGGTCAGTAAATAAC